TAAAATTTCGTCACAACATATGTTTCCATCTGCACGGTAAGTTATTTATTTTTTTTAGTTAGTTTGTGAAGTTAGCTATTCATCTATTTAGCCATGTTCTGTATCATCCGTTGAGATAGAAGATACCTTTTCAAGATTTCGAGCATCCATTCCTTAAAATTTGGGTCCTATGTTGAAATTGGGCAATAAAAGTGCCTTTCAGATTTGAAAATATTTCTTTATTTAGTTTCAGCTTCTTTTCTTTTCTCATTTCCGCTCAATTATTTTTATATCTCCTATATAAAGGTGCTGTGGATATTCGGCACACTATCGTTCTGATTACTTCCGTTTCGTGAATAACGTTACGTTTTTCCGCGTTTTTCTTTCTTTACCTTCAGTTCATTAGTTCAACGCTTAAAGTAATTATTAGAAACTATATTTTTTTATCATCGTTGCACATCGCTTTCATACGGGTAGTCTATTTCATCTGGAGTTTGAGTTACTTAACTTTTCTTCGTTGCTTTTTCTCGAGGCATTCTTTTGTCTGTTCTGCTATATTGTATAGAACTAGCTTAAGCACTGCCCCTCCCTCGTTCTACCGTTCACTGGTTCCAAAATCTATTGTCTATTTAATATTTCTTATTTTTGTTACTGTTGTGGTTTAAAATGTGCCCATTCAGGTTTAGCTCTTTTTTCTCTTCTTGTCCCTTTCGATTTCTATTTTGTTTTTCTTTGATTCAACTAGTTGAGTTATTTGATCTGTTAATATTGTCTTTGTTTGGGTTCGTTTAGTACATTATGTGATGTTTTTTTAATTTTTTTTGCATCAGTTTCACTAAGTTTCGTGAAATGATTAGCTAACATATTTTATTCGATCTATAGTTTCTTTTTATTATGCTTTATATGATTCGAACCATTTTTTGGTTTATTATTGAAGGCATTAGTTTTTTTCTTTGTTTGACTTTTTCGATTTCTTCCTCTGTCTTTTATGTTCTCAAACGTGCTCACTATTTGAATAAGCCGAGCTGATTTGTCTATTGGTTCGAGCTTTGCTGGTTTTCACATATTTATTCTAGATTTACGTTTTCCTCTTCATTTCTTCGGAAAAAGTAGAATTCTAAGTTATTTAGTTTCAAGTGCTTCTTTTTATTATTTTTTCGATCTCATTTTGTTTTTCCGTATATTTGTACACCCTGTTGAGATACTTCAGATCAGATATGGCATTCGTTATAGTTCTGGGTGCTTACTTTTGTCAATGCTGGCCTAGTTTTGTGGTTAGTGATTAGCTTTTATCCTAATATAGTTCCTCTGTTAGTTAGTTTAATTCCATTACATCTTACTCCACCGTGTAGCGTGGTGTTACGTTCTTTTGGTGCAAACGTATTTTGATTAATCTCGCTAGTTCGAAAATTTGATTCATTTGATACGTCGTGCGTGCTATTTTCTATTCATCGAATTATTTTAGCAATTTCTGTTTAGTTCTGCTATAAAATCGATGTAAAATTCCTTCATTGCATCTTTGCATTTCCCCTACTTTCATTCTTTAGTACCTCTTCATGTGTATGTATTTTTGTAGTGCATGTTTCTCCTAAGTTTTATTTTACTATTGAGTTCATTGTATATCTTGGCAGCTTTATAGTAAGCCCCGTATATTTGTTTTGATTTGAATCAATATGTTTACCTAATCGACTTTAGATGTTCCCCTCTATTGCTATTGTAGTTTCGATTTTGTTTCATCCAGTACTGTGCATTGTTGAATTAATTCAGATTCTCAGATAATAATAGATGTTGGTTTCTACAAATGCACTGCTATTGTATTGTCCACTTTAACATCTTTCAGTGACATGAAAGATGAATCTATAATAATGGTGAGTTCGACATGAAAAGTTTCGAACCGGATGAATTATTTTATTTCCATTTAGTTTCAATTCAACAACAGATGATCAAATAATACTGGTGAGTTTGATTTCAAAATAGTTAAAAGCTGATGAATTATTTTACTTCCATTTAGATCCAACAGCAGATGACCAAATGGCAATGGTAAGTTCGATATATAAAGTAAAAAGCTGATGAGCTATTTTATCTGTATTTAGATCCAACATCAGGTTAACAAGTAATAGTAGTAAGTTCGATTTCATAAGTAGAAACCTGGTGATTTGATTTATTTGTATTTAGATGCAACGTCGGAGGTGGGTTGTTCCAGTTGGCGGATCGTGCAGGAACTGTGAGGAAGCCTGGTGAGAATGTCAGTTTATTGTGCAGATAACCAATGAGAATCGTTTGAACATGGGAGCAGTAATCTGGAGAGAAGCGGTTCGAATTTTTTCGAATGAGTTCTGACCATGTTGCTGTATGATTCAGTAATATGCGGCAGAAGTCATCGGTATAAATCGGGTAGTTTTCCAGCCGGAATACTGCTTACTTGCTCGAATGATTTCTCGTGGTTTTCCGCAAGGTAACATGACTCGCGATCACTTTTTGTGATAGTTCCTACAGAATCCTGTGACACTGACACGTTACAAATCTTCTCAGAACTCGCGTTTCAACGCTGAAAAAAAACAGATGCTTTTGGCTGTCAATCGAGGGTCTCGATTGTGTGTCAAAAACGTGTGTAAATACTAAATCCAAAGTAGGTTTTAAAAACCGCCCGTTGAAACGCGAAAATATACCAGTATAGTAAAAAGACATCGTGCAAACGTGTAATTTTACTAACTGTGTTCGGATGCTAATCGATGTTCCTGATTGTGAGTCACAAACATCTATAAATAATAAATTTAAAGTAGGTTTAAAAAACAGGCCGTTCAAACGTGAAAAACATTTCACTATGATAAAAGACGTCTTTTAAGCCTCCAAGTCAAGCAGGTATGAAAACGACTAAAATTCTACGGATAATACATGGCTACAATTTCAGTTAGCATGAAACAGTAAGCGTTTTCACGTCGTATTCTTTTTGCCGTTAGTGACACACAATCGGGAACATCGATTGCCATTCGAACACGTCCGAGAAAGTATGTGCGTTTGCACGCGTTATTAAAATTTTTTGTCTGCTTGGGTATACGAGACTTTAAAAAGCTATACTACCATGAAGGAATTTGGGGGGAAATTTTTCAAGGTTCAGCATTGGAAACATTTTTAATGAACTTTTGCAGCCACTCTAATGCAAAAACCGCTTTCTACAATACTTTTGAAACTTCATATTAAAAAAGATCAACATCAAAGTAGACATCCCTGCAGCACCCTCTGTGTGGTCGAGTAGGGTCCTACTTAACTACGAAGCTTTTCGCTCGTAACTATATTAACCGTTCAGTAAAATATTTGCAACTAATCCTATAAGTTTTCAGTTGATGAGCTACAGTGCGCTCCCTGCAAATTAAGAGATAAAGCAAAGATAGGAGGATGCCTTCGGGGTTTTGCTAGAACTATGATCGCAAGTTGCCGAGATAAATTTGCACTTGAGAGAAACTTAGAAATGATAGATATCACTCGTACGAATCGACCAAAGTTTAGATATGAGAAGTTACCTGAACTGTATTAAAGCGATCGAGAAAACAACAGATTCATCGATATTAATTGTGCAAGCGCATGTGGGTTCCATTTGAGCTGTGATGAAGATTCCACTACGAAACTATTTTGAGTTTGAAATTAGAAGAGTTCGGTACAGCACCATATTTTTATAAAACCGGAATAAGGTTTTGAATTCTTTGTACATCTCTAATGCTTTTTCGAGTGCTGTCTGCCACTTTTCTGTTTTCAGTGACTAGTACAATATATGAAATATGTGATTAAATTTATACACAGCATTGTAGTGGTGCTTGAAAGCAGTTACTCAAAAGTGACTCTAAGTAGCTCCAAGTGGCTAAAATTACTCAAACGTATTCAAAAGTAGCTTCACGTAATTGAAAGCAGTTTTAAGTTGCACAGATACATTTAAAGTGAAAAGTATAGACGAAATCACCCTTAGATCAACACTCGGAGTTCATCATCCCATCGAATCCCGCCGAGCTCTGTCGTTGCCATCATTAATCATCAATTTTAGTTTTAATCCTAGCTCACATATGATAATAATGCCGTTTGTGAATAATGGAATTCCGAACTTCTCTTTCAGATTACAATTAAAAAATGAACAATCTACTATTATTCTTCCCAATCACCATTGTATTGTTGTGGATGTCATCAAGCAAAACCAATGCCCTATTATCATGTCCCGCTGGGACCTATAATCCAAACCAAGGTTCCACGTCTTCTCAAGCTTGTATCAAGTGTGCTATTGGCTCATATAATCAATTTGCTGGGCGATCCACCTGTGTCACATGTGACAGCGGAGCCTATTGTGATACTGTCGGAGCAACTGGTCAACAATATTGTCCAGCTGGAACTTATAATCCAAACCGAGGTTCCACGTCTTCTAAAGCTTGTATCAAGTGTCCTGTCGGTTCATATAATCAATTTGCTGGGCGATCCGCATGTGTCACATGTGACAGCGGAGCCTATTGTGATACTGTTGGAGCAACTGGTCAACAATATTGTCCAGCCGGAACCTATAATCCAAACCAAGGTTCCACGTCTTCTAAAGCTTGCATCAAGTGTCCTGCCGGTTCATATAATCAACTTAGTGGACAATCTTCATGTTTTTCTGGGTAGTCGCTCATGTGGCTAAACCAAGAAATTGCCTGGGTCCGTTTCGTACCGAAAAGAAAGAACTCGAATAAAATTGACTTTTTTAAAACGTGGATTGCTTTGTGTGAAATTTAAAATAATTTTTAGTCAGTTTTTTACTCTTCTTTGCTCTTAATTTTTAATAATATCGAGTTCAAAGCCTGCTTTCATTCAGTTTACTCGTTAAAAGTCTGCTTTTGACGAAAATTTCAATAGAAGAGGCAGAAAACGATATCCTTGTAACAAGAGATTCTTGGTCGAGCAATCATAGAAAAACTTATATTGGACCGTAAATTGTGCACATATTGCAAAAAATACCAGAAATTTCGATTAGAGCCCAAGTTTCTGAAAAAGTCACTGTGTCACAAGAGTTAATGAGCACTAATGGCTTGGTGTATATGTCGACATCAGTAGTCTGTTTTTCTGGCACCAAATAGTAAGGTGCCGCTAAAGCAAAATTGGAGTATGTTACAATTTTCTTCTTTATTTCGCCTTCTTCTTATTATTATCTTTTCACAAGAAAATAATCCCCCTTTCTTTTAACATTAGCACTCACTTAAATAGAATAGATACGAAAAGAAGAATGGAATGATTGTGAACGTGATAGAATGAAACCGAGAGACGAAGAGAGAACATACTTATGACAGGAGAGACACATCCTGGCATAACAGAGTATGTTTTGTTTTTCGTTTATTCATGTATGGTTTGATAGAGCTTGAAAAGCTGATGAAAAATATATACTTTTTATTTCGATTCAATCACTTTTTGGCTGAGAAAATCTTAAAAAACCAGAACAATTGAAAAAATGCTGTTGTTATGTTAAATTTCTTTTTTACAAAAATTGCCAAATTTTTATTTTAGTTCTTTTCTGAGCATTTTAAAGTACTATATTCTGAATCAGCATTAAAAAATGAACAGGAAATTGTTATGGGTGTGGGTGTGTGTGTGTTTTATTTTTAATTCAGCCTAGACTCACACTCACACCCACACCCTTATCCATTAGACTATACTTACTCTATTTATCTTAGTTTGAAAACATTATATAAATGAAACGAAGTGAAGAAAATTTTCTGAAATTTTTCTCTTTAGTTTTAATTGCTTATTTGTCTTAATGTCTAATAGACAGGCGATTATGATCATCGGTATTAATTTATCTTTATTATTCACTTATACCCAGGTCGATGATTCCGGCCTCCGGAACCCGGAGGAAACAGTGAGAAACGGGTTGTTTTCCGGTGTATTCCGACCGGTTCCGGGGTCTTTCCGACAGGATCCGACCGGAAGTCGCACCGGAACGTGGAAGCAGTATTCCGGCCGGATTTCACCGTACCCGGAACCGGTTCAAACCGAGCCGTATCCTTTACTGGAAACAAACAAGATCCGTAGGGGTTTCCGACAGAACCTTAGCGGAAGAACAACGGAACCGTACTTATCCCAGCGGCAAGATCAGCGGAAACGCTAAAAGCTTGCGGGAACATACTTCGGATCCAGTGGATATGAAAGTGAGACTGACACAGTCTCAGTGAGACTATTCAATACTCACTTTTCAGCAAGTGAGACTATCCAATACTCACCTCTCAGTAGGTGAGACTATCCAATACTCACCTCTCAGTAGGTGAAACTACCTAATACTCACTTTTCAGCAAGTGAGATTTCCTGATACTTACCTCTCAGTAGGTGAGAGTAACGGTCGGAATATTGGAAGACCTAAAA